CCATCACCAAGAGGGACATCTCTAGTGGGGACATAAGCATTTCAAAGTGCAAATCTAGTTTCTACATTTCTGTTAAAAGCAACACCAAAAATATGTGTGTACTTGCACTGTGCCTACATAGTCCCCATCTCAAAACTAATACTGGGTTCAGGAGTGTCACAGTATCAAGGAAATGCTTTTAAAAATCCCTCCAACTGTTATTAGAAGAAAATGAGAAACTCAGTTATTGTTTTCCTGACATGTGGCATGTTTCGTTTGTTCCAAAGCTCATGTGTGAAGGTCTTATATACTATTCGTTTGCAAACTGAGAAACGTTGCCAGCGACTTACCATATACTAACAACTTATATTCTTTCTTTGTTATTCCAGCTACATTTGAAGCTATGCATGTATAGGAGGCTGAATCTGAATTTTCAGCCACAGAAATTTGAAGTTGTCTTCCTCCAGATAAGATTCTGACTCTCCCTGAAGGATCAACTATCAGTGGAGAACCTACAAAAGAAATACTCTCAAATAAAAAGAAATAAATATAAAATATGTGTACACATTATTCGGAGTCTTTGAAACCAGAAATGCATTATTTGGATAATCAATTTAGTTGAATAACTCAAGGCATAAATTAGCTTCAACTTCATGCACAAACAGTTATTGTGTTCCTCTCTTTCCACAGTTGAAAAGCAATAAAAGGCACACTTAATCAGAGCTTCCTATTATGTATGTCTGAACTGGGAAATTGGATTAATCACAATTGTTAGTCTATCTATGAAAATGAGCTGTAGCTTCACCGTTTTTATAACATTTATGTACCATTTCCCAACATCTCAAAACAATTTAAACTAAAGCAAACTATAGTTTCTGTTGTGGCCCAGCAGGCGCCATTGGAGCTGCCACCAGACTCTGCCAGCGAGGGGCCATATGAGTCGGCTCTGGAGGATATGGAGGACCCTGGACAGGGTTCCGACTCCAAGCAGGGCGCAGAGAGACTGGTTGACCACCAGGAGGCGCTTGGGCCTTGGACCAGTGGGGAGGAGACAAGGGAGTGTGATCTGGACATCATACATTGGAGCAGTGG